TGTCGTTGAGTGATTGTGTCTTCACTCTCGCTTCGTTAGGACGTTATTCGTCGTGGGCTCGTCCCGTCTGGTTAGCGCAGGCGATGCTATTGGCTGGCCGATGCAGCAGATGATTAGGATGGAAAACATCATGAGGATTGCGATTGCTTGGTGGACCATTTTGCTTGATGATGGTTTTTGAATGTTTCTGCTGATCGCTTATCTGTTTAAATAATAGGAAAGGCTTTAGCTTTTGAATGCTGGATACGGTGGGGCTGGTTGGTTATAAGAGCTTACATGTTAACAAGGAACTGTTCTCTCAATAATCTTGCTGAGCAGGGGAAATATATGTGTTTGGATGCACTAGCTCGGCAAGGGCTTGGATGAAACGGTGATGATGTGAAGCCTGGTGTGGAGTTTGGATGGATGAGGGGGGGATGTGAAAATCAGGAAATGGATTTTGTTGGGTGTTATAGCTAATAGGATAGAAGTCGAGACAACAGGAGAGCAGATATCTAGGTGTCCTTGAAGGGTGGTGGGAGATGGGGGGGAGAGCGCTTGAGGGAAGATGTGCCCTTTTATAAGGTCTCTGCGACAAGTGCTCAAGGCCAACCGGAGAAGCCCCCATGAAATCAGAAAAAGTTCCTTCAGAGTCCAAACCCACGAAAGCCATCGCCGATATCGCACCACAAATGTACAAAATCTTCGAGTGGCTTCTTCAAACCTCATACAGATTGCCACTCCTCCTGTCGGCATCTAACCACAGTCGCCTCGCTTTATCAGCCACGACCATCGGGTCCTTCTTCACAACTCTGACGGAGTGGTCACCAGGACATGTTGGGCGCACAACCCACAGAAGTAAAACGGATTGATTTTTCTTGCATCTTCTTGATCTTTACTGTATCTATTTCTGTATTGTCTTGATTCACCAACTCGAGTCTCGCACACTGCCAGACACTGCCTTCAGTTAAAACCATCCAATTCGTCGAGCACACCGGCGTGCGGGACACTGGTCTGTGCATCCGGTCTGGAGGCTCGCCATGCAACGGGTGGAGTCCCCAATCCCAGGGGGTACCTACATAGATCTGTGATCGGAATCGAACTCATCAATCTTATGCTCGGGTATGCCGACGATGCAATCCAAGACAATATTGTACATTGTACAATGTGGACTGTCTCGAAGGTAACAAAGGTGGGCTTATAAGTTATACATTCATACATCTCGTAGAAGCTGTCAGGGGATAATGAATTCGGCGGAAGTTGCAGGCGGAGAAACGTCGAGTGGCTCTTTTTGCCTTGGCACTGCCCGAATGCAAGGAATCATGTGATCCACCCTCGAGTCTAACCAAGTGGTGATGAACCCCATTCTCCTGTGAGAAGTTTTTGAAGGGCCCAAGTGAATCAGCTTGGTGGTGACGGGATGGTACAGTCCGACCAGGCAAAATGGGGTCATGTTACATAATCAGGTTACCATGTCCCAAAAACAAAACATGACATCCATTCCGTAGTAACTGTTGGACACAACTGGGTCACAGATGGAGGTTTGTTGAAGGATTATATTGCATCAATATAGAGTGAAACAAACATCAGAGAAAAAGAGAAAGAAAAGAAAGAAAAAGAAAAGAAGACATATGTACTGGGTCAGAGATGGAGGTTTGTAGAAGGATGAGGAAAGGAATCCTTCCACGTACTCTGACCCAAGTATAGTGTAACCTAGTGACAAGTGAGTGACATGTCTGATGACAGGTGAGAAGCACAGGAAAAAAGAGAAAAGACCAAGAGGAGGATACACTACTCCAACAGTAACTTTGCCTCTGCCTGCAAAATTGAGGTCATGTCTTGATTCAGGATATGTCAACTTGCTCAAGGACCAGTACACCACGGGTGCATCTCAACGGCAACCTGCCCGGTATCTTGATGGACAAACCAACCTCCGCCGACCCAGCCAAACCTTCCTGTCTGCCAACATCAAATTGGCAGCTTTGAAGCCAGGGGGTTGGCGTGGTCGGGGTGTTGACCCATGTGCACCGGGTGGGATGTGGGTGGCCCAACAATAAGCCGCCGACATCCAATAATTATCTCAGGGTCATGAGCGGTCCTGAGATTATGGATTCAAGAGGTTTTCAGTCAGCCCGACCGTTCTCTGCCCACAACTCGCCTGCATTGCTGTCATCAGTCCATCAGATTTCTAACTTAACCAAGTCCCCCCAGATGAGAGCCTCGGTGGAGTTAAGCGCTGGCTGGTGGCGAAGCCGCCCCCTCCCGCAGGGGGAGACTTATGAACTTTGTGAGGGTGCTCGCCGAGAGAAATCTTTGAAAGCAGGTTAAGCTTCCAGAGACTGTAGCTCAAAGGGACAATCGAGCTACATATATGGTTCTGCAGAGAGAAAGATGCAATCACATCCCTGGCTTGCCTTCTGTCAGCTCCGCTTTTGGAGATATATCTTTGATCAAAAGATCAAAGCAGCAAAACAAGAATAAGAACTTGCCATACTTGAGCCCGGGGCCCCAAGCGCAGCCTGAGATGGGTGTGGCCTTGACTCGTCTTGACAGGCTTCAAAAATTTGCCAAAAAAACCCTTGTGGGTATCTAGCTGAGGTTATGGGCTCTAAAAATCACAACAGCAATGCTCTTTCTAAGTTTTGGTTGCTGGGATTGACAGCATCAAACCTACAGGCTGGAAAATTCAAAGAGCAAATTTCCAGCTTGTTTTGGTGGGTGGACTCAGGCGAGCACCCCCGCAAAGTTCGTAAGTCCCTCCCTGCGGGAGGGGTGGCTTTGCCACCAGCCAACCTTAAGCTCCACCCAAAACCAACCTCCCGCACAGGGAGGACTTTGTTAAGTTAGGTGAGATTTGGACCCCGCATTGACAGCTGCAGGTTCTGCCGTGAGAAGCAAAAAATTGGGCTCTCTGTTGTGCAGGCGGAGCCATAAAAAAGCTATGCTGACCACCGGACTTGATCTCAAGATGACACCCATCATGATGATCACATGCTGTTGATGTTCTTGACTGCTTGGCCAGGCCTACTTGGTTTTAGATGTGTCCAAGAAGGATCTTTGATCCCGCAACCTCCATATGCAAGCTGCTTTTTTTTCTCTAAGTCATTTTTTTGAAAAATAAATAAATAATTCATACCAATTTTTCTCCACCTCTCACCCAAAAAGAGAAACACTGAGACAATTTTGAATTTTCATAAAATGGGGTGACCCGACGTCAAGCCGACAACTCTGCATTGGTCATCCCAACCGCAACCTTCATGAGGCGCCCTGGCAAGCCTCTTTGAGACAGCATTTTGTTGGTTTGGCAGGACTGTCAGACCTGGTCTCCAGCAGTTAACCAAATCTAGAGCCTGGCTGAGCTTGGGTCATATTTGTTGTAACCCAGTAACTGGGTTACCCTCAGACTCACTAGACACCGGCTCAGAGCTACTGTGTCTGTTTTGTTCTAAGAATTATCATCATTATTCACAAGATCACAACAGGTCATGAGCCCTTATCTCTCATAAATGATTACCCAGCGTAGGGCGACTCCTTCTTACTTATCTCTCATAAATCATTACCCAGCGTAGGGCGATTTTTTTTTCCTTATCCCTCAATAATTTTCCTATCCACCCGGCGTAGGGCCAAAGCGAGCAACATCTTAATCCGATCCACTGAGTTTGAAGGTAGCAAATACTTTCGGAAGCCAGAGCTTAGCTACCTCGTCCCGATACTTAGGTACCTAGGGGGCTGACGTTCGTACAAGCGAGACTATAACAAAGTGTTGAGGTTTCTTCATATCGCCAAACACCCTTCTTTTCTTCCTCTATCGTTCCTCATCATCAAAACATTTTTTTTTCCCCTTTTTCTACGACCTCATTGAACCCAACTTACCTCTAAATATCCTCAATTTTTTTTTCCCTTTCCTTTTTTCCTCCAATTTTCCCCCTGTTCCTTTTACAAATCTTCAACCTTCTCCCCTTCCTTCTTCCGTTTTTCTTATCTCTATCCTCTCCACGTCAACCGGTCTACACATCATCTTTATCCTCTTCTCGCCGACCTAGCCATCATGTCGTCTCCGATCCGCAATACCCAATCGCCACCCCAACACAACAACCCTTGGCAGCACGAGGCCCCGCACATGAATCGTCCCGATGCTTTCTCAGCGAACGCAAACATCAGAACTCACTCGAGACAACATGATTCGAGGAGTCGTGGGCGTCAAACACCGCGCCAGGAGGATGAAAGGCGACCCGCGGACGATGATGACGGCGATGTACCGATGTACACGGCCAACGAAGTAAGCCGTTTTTTGGCGGAGGCGTCGGTTCCAGCGTTGTACCAAGGAAAAACTCCCGGTCAGATCGTCTCCAACGTCGTTTCAAGGATGTCGAACTTGGATAAACTGCAGCCGAGTGGGTCCAACTTCGCCGTCTGGGAGTTAATGATGCGTGAACGAGCCCTGGAGATATTCGGAGTACCAACCTGGTACTCAAAACTCTGCAATGACCCGATTCAAGAGCAAATCGGCCGATCCCTTCTCTTGGCAACGGTCGATAGCAACATGCACCGAAGCATCCTTTGTCAGTCGAACTGCTTCCAAATGTTCCAATATCTCAACTCGCGGTTTTTCACGGTCACCAGGGCAGAACAAATGACATGCTGGGACCGTCTGACCAACTTTAAAATGAGCGACTATTCGAACAGCGCCGAAGCCGTCTCTAAACTCTTCGAAATATTGGACGACTTCAGCAGCTTTGGGATCGACCTCAACCGTGAGACGATAGGAGGTATGGCACTTCAAGCCTCTTTGGAAGCGGGCTCAGAATGGCGTCGGGAGGTAGATCGTCGTGTCGAGCAGGACCTGGGTGGATCGAGCCGAACTCTCCCCAAAAAGGCGGTTACGCCCGATCAAATCCTCAAGCATATTGACATCGTCAAACGCCAAACGGATCTCGGTTCATCTAAATCATCTTTCTCGGCGATGGTTCCTCAAGCTCATCAAGTGTCTGCAGCTGACCAATCGGACCAAGCGAAGGAGTACTACGACCCGGCAGCCTGGCCTGCGGCTCCACCTGTCCAAGGCTTAGCGACGTATGGCCTCCAGTGCTGGAACTGTTGCTCGCCGGACCATCTGCGTGAGCAAATGCAAGCTCCCCAGACGTCGAGACTTGA